GACATTAGACATGCTTCCATATTTTTGAAGTGCTGCATTTTAAAAAATTTGTTTGACTTGACCTCAAAGTGTGTGTGTGTGTGTGTGTGTATATATATATATATATATATATATATATATATAAACAGCTCTGCAAACAGGCCTCCAGCCACTCCAATGTGATTTACTACTGATGTTTTATAACAGTGCAGTGTGTTGAAGACTGTCACTTGCTCTTTTAACCTTGGTTTCAGCTGAATTCAAGACAATATGCCCACAGCTGAGCCGGGATAAACAGAACCATTTCATTACGTAACGGACCAAAAATATAAGCTTGCATTTTGCTAATTGTGCATAGGAAAGTAAATAATGGTATGTTATGAGTTTGACCACTCGTCCCACCCAAGGCTTTTCTGACAGTTATAATGTCTAAAATGTAAGTTAAGTGCAATGGCTGGGTTGTCTTTCCATCTGTGTGGATGTGACCTTCTGCTGAGGCACCTCCTCTTTCTCCTCCCCCAAACAACCCTCTCCTTCCGGGCACCTACCATGATGGCTGAACCCAGGTGCGGTGATGTTGGACCAAGAGGAGCGTAGCCTGGCCAGCATCGCTGAGAAGCTGGTGGATGAGCTTGTGGACAAAAACGAGATCCGGCCCAGTGACCGTGAGGAGCTCCTGAAAGCCTTGCTACAGAACCGGAGGTAGCCTCCCCCAATGTATGCCAGACATGTAACCCTTTTCATATCCATAAGGAGCAGCATTTTTATATAGTAAGACATCATCCCACTCAGGGTCAAGCCCAAGCCTTTGGATCAGTTTTCACTTGATACTTAACCTGCATAATACCTACTTTCTGTATTGTGCTTTTACCAGTGGTCATATAATTAGGCACTCCATTTTTCTCACCCCCTCCCACCCCCAAAATGATTTATAGCTTGATATTTCACCAGAATCGTTTAAGTTCCTTTCTTAGAAAAACTGCAGCAAACTCTGGATTACATGTGCATGTCCTGTAAACATTATCAAATTGCAACTGTACATAGACTAAAATTATGTGTGATTTGAACATGAAAACATATTGGTAATAATTCTGATGTGATAAACACATGGTAGATTTTTTTATTTTATTGTTTTGTAAATGCATGTGATCTGATGCCCCCAAAGGTTTCAGATCTGATTCCTAAGCTTGGCTCTGGGTTTTTCATGTTCTCCCCATGTTTGCATGGCTTTGCTTTGGTGCCCCATTTTCCATAGTCTGTCAGCATGTTCCCACTGAATGACTTGCATCCCATCTAAAGTACCCCCTTCTCTGAGCTTCCTGACACAGACTCCCAACTTACTACAATCTTACACAAACTAAGCAGTTCTTGTAGAGTTTGTAACACAGAGAATGTGTCAGTGTTTCAAGGAAGAGGTTATATTGGGGGACAAGCAAAACCGGATTTGATAATCACTCAATTTGCTGTGCTTAAAGATCTGGAGGGCAGCAAACTGGCCCTGTTTCAATCTACGCATCTTAAAGGTCTGTTTGCCAAACAGAAGGTTTATCAAAAATGGGGTGGATGTAAATGTATGACCTGAGTTATGAACTCTCCACAGTCAGTCTGAGCCAAAAGAGACCCAGACTCTGGCCCCTGGTTTGGAGATGACATGTTCAGTGTCAGGCAAGGTAAGACTTTTACTGACACACATTTCAAATGGGAAGAAGAAATAGAAAAAGAATAGACATTTACACGAGACAATAACATTTCATAGAAATGAACTGAGAAGATTGTGTTGTTTCAGAAATAACAATAATACAGATAATAATACATCTATTTTATTGTCAATTTTACAGTCACTTTCTTTTTATAGTTACTTTTATTCTTATTTATGTCATGTCAAGAGAAACAAAGGACTGAAGGTCAGGTCTCAGGTGAACAAAGGGGGCTTATTAAACAGAACAGGAGCAGGGCAGTGAGGGGTTGAAAGGCGAATGTTAGGACTGGGAAGGGCACAAGCAACAGGACTGTTGACCTTAATGACTGGACTGGGGATGATGAGACAAAAAGGTACTTATATACAAAGACTAACAAGGGGTAACAAGGTGTGGCTCATTAAGGCCACACTAGGGAGGAGATAGGAGGGTCAGACAGACATGGTGGGCAGGACATAACAATTTATTCCCATCTTTAATACTGTTTTGTTTTTCTTTGTATCGTATTTTTCCTTTCAAGCACAATTCTGGAAGCAGGTGAAAAAGCTTTTCATTACACAGATGTGCAGTGGATGATTGTTTATGTGAGAAAACCTGAGACTACAAAACTTGAACATAACACTGCTATTAGTCTGAAGGTGAGACCATCACATGCTATTCACTTCCTGAAAGAGCTGGTTTTCTCTTACAGAAAGATGTATCTGACACCAGTGAAGCTTCAATGGTCCTGGTTGGTAAGTGTGAACCAGATTAGTATCCAGTAAAATGGCATTTTGCATTCACCATCTGAGACTTTTCCATAGATTAAAAATTGAATCTGAAATTCTATACTGCATGAAAAACAAAAACTAAATACTCATCCCTCAACTTTCGCACGCAGCCAGTTGGACCCAATTTATTATGCTGTATTGTTACTTACATATTTTTTTTACAGCTTCTTTTGTTATGATTAATATATTCATTCTAAATTCATATCCTGTGTCAGTCATCTTTTTACTTGCACAGTCAAAATAGAAAGAAAAAACTAGACAGCATATTAAAATGCGGCAGATGTCTGGATGGAAACACAATCAAATTAATGGTATAAAAGGAGCTATTAAGAACAAAGAATTTCTCACACAGCTCAGCTCTAATCGGCAAAACACAAAAATACACACGGCCAGGAGCACGTTACATTTCTGTTGAATTTATAAAAGTGATTTTCCGGAAGAACACCTTTAAACAAAAATGCTTGTAGAGGCCATATGCAACATTAAAGAAGTAGAAAACCTAGTGCCTTGAAGAATAGTTCCCAAACTGGAGTCAGAATAGAATAATGACTTCATTAATCCCCATGGAGAAACTTTCTTTTTTCTGAGACACACTGACAGCAAGATTGGGGGTCAGAGCACTGGGCGCCCCTGTAGCTGGGGGTTTAGGGCCTTGCTCAAGGGCCCTCGGACGTGTGTCTATTCTGCCGAGGCCAGGGCTCAATGTGGCGCCCTTCCAATCACAGACATGGAGGCTTAGCTCCTGAGCCATGTACCATAGACAGGAGATACTGATACACAAACATATATACATAACGGCTGATTGGGAATTTCACTCAGTTAATGCTGTATCACCTACCAGCATTAGAAAATCTGCTCATGGTATGATGGGAGAGTATGGGAAACTTTATATTGTAATGGACAACTTCCTGGGAGGACAGCAAGCCAAATCAAGCAGGAGGAGATTCCAGGACCTTCTGCAAACACAGGATGCAATATTGGTGACAGTGTAGTCCAAGCTGTTTCGATGCTGACAAGCGACAAGCCGTAGTCCAGTCAGAGTGGGACCGTCTCAAACAGAAATTGTCAAGAGACATCATGAGTTACTTGAGTTTTGGAAACGGCTATCTGAAATTAATGCACCAGAACGTGTACTGTTATGGAGAAAGGATTACTGAATAAACAGCTTCTTCCAACTAAACCTTGCTTCGATTTTTACCCGGTACAAGGCTAATAGAGCTGACAAACTGTGCTTTTGCAAGGATTGAATTCTGTGACTGTTTGGATAATTGTTCTTAAATTTGTATTTTTCTACTTATTACCAGCATCATCCCTGTACCCGAACAAACACTGCATGCCAGGGGGCAGTATGTCAGTAAACCATCGTTTGTGTTGTTGTACAACAGGAGCCCTGGATTTTTTAGAGAAGCCCACTGTAGCTTTCGTGAGGCTGAAGGAGGCGGCGGAGTTGGAATCGGCTTTGAAGGCCCCGGTGCCGGTCCGCTTTGTGTTTGTGTTGGTGGGGCCCAATGACAACAGCATGGACTACCATGAAATCGGACGAGCCATGGCCACATTAATGGCTGACAGGGTGAGAAGCCAAGGTGGGCGCGGGGTTGCAGAAAGCAGGGGAGAAGCATAAGGATTCACACAGGAACACAGAGGGAGAAACTGAGAAGCTTTTGAGGAGAAATTGTACTTAACTGGGATTTAAGGGTGAGCAGAGAGATGGAAATGGAACAGTTAGTGGTGACTGGGCGATAACACATTGGTTTGCTAAATCTATGTTCTCTCTCTCCCAGGTGTTCAATTTAGCAGCTGTCCAAGCGCAGAACGATCGTGACCTGATGGAGGCTGTTGCAGAATTCATGGACTGCAGCATCGTGATCCCACCTACTGAGATCCAGAATGAATCAGTGCTGAGCTCCATTATTGGCTTTCAGAAACAGCTTCTGCACCGACGCCTGAGCCCATCCAGCCCCCAGGTCTCCTTGGACTTGAAGCCTCACAGAGGTTTGAATTTGTTGTATTATAATCTATTATTTTCATTTAATATGATATTGAGCTATTTGCCTAGCGTCCTTCTGAGCCTCATGTGACATCACACGTCCTGTTTATTCGGTAGTTACAAAAGCAGAGAGACCTCCAGCAGAGGACCCGCTGGCCCGCACAGGCCGGCCATTCGGTGGAATGATCAAGGACTTTAAGAGGCGCTACAAGCACTATGTCAGTGACATCACTGATGGCCTCAATCTCCAGGTCCTAGCTGCTATCATCTTCATCTACTTTGCTGCTCTGTCTCCTGCCATCACGTTTGGAGGTCTGTTGGGTGAGTGACAGTTTGTGCAGCTTTCTGCTGTCATAACACTGAATTAAATTCCATATGTTGATGACTGGTTAGCATGTGAATAATCAACTTAGTTGTCATTTCTCATCTGCCCAGCTGATAAAACAGATAACATGATGGGCATATCCGAGCTGCTGCTGTCTACTGCTCTACAGGGAATAATCTTCTGTCTCATCGCTGCTCAGCCAATCCTGGTCATCGGCTTTTCTGGACCCTTGTTGGTCTTTGAGGAGGCCTTTTTTGCGGTAAGTACCTCCTAGAAAGCATGTTGGAGGGGCTGGCATACTGTGACACGGTATCAGTCAGACGTTTGAGTACATATGCTGGAATTTAGGTATTATCACAGTGTTTTAGATCAGATTGTATATTTTTCTGTACATACGGTGAAGCACACAACATAAAATATTGAGTACCAAAGTATTATTCAGGAAAATTGAAAATTTCTCTGTTCCTGCTTGATAAAAGCTTCACAAACATGAGACACTCAGTTTTAGCAGGAAATTACCTGACATGATTCCCCTGGTTTTTTTGTAACATTTCCCAGGGATGTAGGGTGCTTCTGGGTTGCTTTATTTTGACTCTTCTATCTAGTTCAGAGCTGTTCATTCCTACACCTGGCCATCTACCACCCTACAGAGTGTGCACAAGACATAGCTGGTTACTGAAGGGCCTGATTATCTGTATCAGGTGTGTTAGGGCTGCATCTAAGCTCTGCATGGTGGTAGATCTCAAGGAGCAGCCATGGTCTAGTTCATCCCATATAGGTAACTGAGATCTAGCAACTAGAGAAATTGACTAATTAAACGACGCCCACTGCTGACACAGATATAATTAGGCACACTGCTATGCAATCTCCAGAAGCAACACTGGAAGCAGAATGGATGGCTGTATAGAAGAGATTAGTGACTTTCAATTTGGCACCATCACAGGACTCCACCTTCACCACATTTCTGTCCTGCTATAGCTGCCCTGATCAGTTGCAAGTTGACGTGATTGTGAAGCCCAAAATGTCTGGGAGAAACTCCAAATATATGGCCATACAAACTCACAGCATGGGACCTGATTGGCGGCAAATCCTACCAACAATGTCCCAACATCTAATGGAAACCCTTCCCAGAAGAGTACAGGCTATTATAGGAACCAAGGATGGACAAATTTCATTTTAAACCCCTTGGTTTCAGAATGAGATGTTGGACAAGCTGGTGTTCATATACTTTTGGCCATATAGTGTATTTTTGTTTTGGGTTATCATGCTAAATCATGCAGGACTGCCTACTCAACCAAAAACCTGATGGAATGATGTGTCTTTGAAGATTTCCACAGTAATCATGCTGGTTGATATTTCCATTGATTAAGGACTGCCAGCTCTGTCACCAGCACAACAACCCCAGACCATGACATTGACACCACAAATGCTGAAATGAAACTCATGTGCTCATCCTCTCTATAGTCTATACCGTGGCTGAACCAAAATATTTCAAATGTTAATTCACTATATTGGGCAGTGTGTGGCTCAGTAGAATAAGCGTCTGCACCAGTGATTGGAAAGTCAGCAGTTCAAGCCCGGCCTCTGCAGAATAGTTATGTCTGTGGGTCCTTGAGCAAGGCCCTTAAGCTCCAGCTCCATGGAGCTTGCTCTCACCTACTGTGTGTCATGGAGGGCAAGCTGGGGTAGGTAAAAAGAGAATTTCCCCATGGGGATCAGTAAAGTATCTTCATTTCATTAGTCGGTAAGGCCAACTTCCAATTCTCTTTATAGATAATTGCACATTGTTTAAAGCACAGATGACTATGTACTCAAACTTTTGTCTGATACTGTACAGCATATTATAAATAATTCCTTGAAAAGAACAAGTTTCCAAATGTAAATCTAGTGTACTGGCTATATATTGTGCACATAATTTAATTTCAGTAAAGCTACATTATCAAAGTTGATATTTTTGCAACGTGTAGGGAGGGTGTATGCATTATAATGACCAAGCAATGTCTGTTTTAGTTCTGCAACTCACAAGAGATCGAGTACATTGTGGGCCGAGTGTGGATTGGCTTTTGGCTGGTGTTTATCGTGGTATTAATGGTGGCATTCGAGGGCAGCTTTCTGGTCAGGTTCATTTCACGCTTCACACAAGAGATCTTCTCCATCTTAATATCCCTCATCTTCATCTATGAGACCTTTGCCAAACTCATCAGGGTATGTACTCCTCATCCTCATCTCTCCTTCAGCTCCAACATTGTCTATTGCAAGACCTTAACTAATCTTTGACCCTCAATTTTATTGTCGATCTGTATGTCTTCCTTCCTTTTAATTTTATTTTTGTTTTATTTGCCAAGTGACACAAGCATCTTTTACTCAAGCTTTGAAGTATGAGGCACAGTAAAACATCCCTTCCAAATAGATTCTTTGACTTAGAGCCCATATCTTGAAGCATGATGTGAGATGAGTCAGCCCGTCATGAGATACTGACACACGCACACAATAAGTCCCTGTGTAATCTAAGATTCCTGATTTAAACAGACACCACAGAACAGGCCATTATGTTCCCCACCTCGTTCTGTTACACTATATCACGTTCATATTGAAGTTTGTGTATAAGTAAATGCAAAATAGTATAAACGTTTTATCTTCCCTTCTCCTTAATTTAACCCAGTGTTTCCCAAACCAGTCCTCGGGGCACACTGGACAGATTCTCATTTTTGTTTTCCCCAGTTCCCAGAACACCTGACCCAAGCAGTCAAGAACGCTAAATACCTTACAGGTGTGCTGGGACCTGGGATGAAACAAAAATGTGGATCTGTCCAGTTTGCCTTGAGGACTGATTTGGGAATCACTGATTTAACCTGTCCATTGTTTTCAATATTCTTTCTTCAGTTTTTTAGTCCTTAATTTTCCTTGTTCAATATCTTCTTTAGTTTAAAATAACTTTTTCACCATATTTGCAATTTCCTTTTTTTGGCCCAGGTTTTTCAGCAGCACCCACTGACTCGTAACTATGAATATCTGAACAGGAGTGCAGGGAATCCCTTTTACGCTGCCCCTAGCCGTCACTCTGGCAACGCCTCCACCCTGGCTACACTCCAGGAAAAAGCATATCCCAACACTGCCTTGCTCTCCATGTGCCTAATGTTTGGGTGTTTCTTCATTGCGTATTTCCTCAGACAGTTCAAAAATGGACATTTCCTACCAGGCAAGGTAAACTTTTTGTCTATATATTAATACCAAATAAATAAAGGTGTGTTAAATAGTACATCCAGTATTCAGAAAACCTGTAAAAGCACACAGGAAACCGGAAGTCAAAAATGCTTAAACAAAAGAAAGCATATATACGCCTGTAAATATTTTATAATGGTAGATTTAATATGATATTTACCCTATCATAAATCTGAAATTGTCCACATGGTGATGAACAACAATAACTATTTTGGTTACCATGTCTGGTTTGTGTCTGTTATGTTACAGATCCGCCGCTTGATTGGAGACTTTGGTGTCCCTATTGCCATTTTCTTAATGATTGTTGTGGACATCAGCATTCAAGATGTTTACACTCAGGTGAACGTTCTGCCCTATTAAAGATATTTAGTATTATGCAAAATGTATAACTATAGAAAAATGTAGACGTGTATAGGTTTGCTAATGTATTACTTAGCAAAGAAGAAAATCACATTTTCTTGAGCAGTACAGGGAAACTTTTCTTTCGTAGCTTTATCGACTGGACTAGACTAGACTAGAATGGAATAGAATAGAATACCTTTACTGTCATCGTACAGTATACAGTGATATTTGGCATGCCCCTCCAGCGACAATGCAGGAGAAAAATTGAACAAAAATAAACAAACAATAAAGATATGAAATATATACAAAATATATATTAAAATTAATACATTATGAAGTTTAGAACATGGATGAAATACTCTACATGAGGAATAAAGTGCAAGCAGGTGTGATCTTGAGGGGGGCAGAATGTGGGTCAGTGGGCTAAGCCTGTGTGCCTGTAATCAGAAGGTCACCAGTTCAAACCCAGTCCTTAAGCAAGGCCCTTAACCCCCAATTCCCTGGGCGCCCCAACAGGTGGCTGCCCTTTGCAGACAGCTTATCACAAGAGCATGTTGTGGGAGGCATAAAAGACAATTGCCCCACAGGGATCAATGAAGTATCAATTATTATATTGCAACAAAACGGCAGTGACGACAGGTGACAGAACATGGTGTGTGTGTGTGTGGTCTTTGATCATACTGGTTACTCTGTGAAGGCAAAGGGTGAAATAGATGCTGCCCAGAAGGTGAGCTCAGATCCCAAGACACACAAATTTAAACATTAATATACCAAAAATAGGAGTTGTTTACTACAAGTATATGGAATGCATTAACACTTAAATATATCCTCCACTTGCCCCGACAGAAACTTCTGGTGCCCAAAGGTCTGACAGTGTCCAACCCCAGTGCAAGGGGGTGGGTAATCAACCCATTGGGGATAAAGAGAGCTTTCCCTGTCTGGATGATGATAGCCAGTGTCATCCCAGCGATGCTCGTCTTTATCCTCATATTCCTAGAGTCTCAGATCACTACGTGAGTTGACACATTCTGTCGTAACCAAATTATTCGCTGTCAGTCTCAGTAGAATGAATGAAACAATGCTGTCTGGTTGGCACCATGACTTGGTGGGAAGTGCTGTTGCATCACACCTCCAGGGTTGGGGGTTCCACCTCCTCTACGTGTGTGGAATTTGCATGTTCTTGCTGTGTGGAGGATGCCTCTCACAGACCAGAGACATGCAGATACATTAATTGGTGTTTCTAAATTGCCCATAGAGTATAACTGAGCATATATGTGCCCGGTGGAGGACTGGCACTGTCCAGGGTATACCTGAACCATTATGTCCGGTGCTGCCTGGCACAGGCTCTGGGGCCCCCATGAGCCTGACCAGGATAAGTGGTTAGAAGATGGATGGATGGATGGATGGGTGAATGAGAGACTTACTTCAATTGGATGACATCGTGACCACACAACTCTGTTACATGGCTTAGCTGTCCTTCCTGTGTTTGTGAAGGGCCTAACAGCAGACTTCTGTAAAACTGCAGCACTTGGGGAAAATGTTTGTGTGCGCACTGTAATCTTGGCACTCTGTAACAGCACGAGGCTGTCTCCATCCACTGCTGATTCAATGCTTAGTACAAGGCTTAGCAAGTGCATGTATTGATTACGCGATTTATGATGACCTCCTGGCAGACTGATTGTGAGCAAGCCAGAGCGGAAGATGGTGAAGGGCTCGGGATTCCACCTCGACCTGCTAATTCTAGTCAGCATGGGGGGCCTTGGTGCCATGTTAGGGTTGCCCTGGCTGAGTGCTGCCACTGTCCGTTCAGTCACTCATGCCAATGCTCTGACTGTCATGAGCAAAGGACCAAAACCAGTGATTGAAAAAGTTCTGGAGCAGAGAGTAAGCGGCATATTGGTAGCTCTGCTGGTCGGTGAGTACAATAAACACTATTTTTAACTATTGACTTTCCACACTGTCAGTTTGTAATCCCTTATCTATCCTGATAGAATATTTCAGTTGCCTGATCTTTTCTTGTCATTTTCAGGTCTGTCGATTTTAATGGAGCCTATTTTAAAAATGATCCCCATAACAGCTCTGTTTGGGATATTTCTCTACATGGGTATTACCTCACTCAGTGGAATCCAGCTTTGGGACCGCATACTGCTGCTTTTCATACCCAGAAAGTATCATCCTCAGGAACCATATGCCACCAAGGTACAGATACACAATATTATTACAGATTTTATCCTGGTATCATATTACTTCATTTTATTACATAATACTAAGAACAATTTGGCATTCCATAATGGAGTCCTACCCATAACTCTATTTCTTAGGACCCTTGGGTATATTACAATGATTAGGTATTATTATTGTATTTCTTTATTTTGATTGATGAAACTTCATAATTTGTGTGTTCATACACATACATATATTCAGATATATTAAGTAACATCACTGACTATCTCTCTGACACTCTGACTTAGGTGAAGACCAATAAGATGCACATATTTACTTTGATCCAAGTAGCATGTTTGGTGGCACTGTGGATAGTGAAATCCAGCCCCATCTCCCTGGCTCTGCCCTTCATCCTCATCCTCACCATTCCCCTGCGCATGTTAATGAGAGGCCGCCTCTTCACTGAGCTGGAAATGAAATGTGTAAGTACTGGCGAATGTCTTAATTGCTATCTTTTTCCTAAAATCCCAGTTCCTTAACACAAAACACATTATTAAGATATGCCAGAGCTGTTTTTAAAGGTTTAACATTGTCTTTTACTGTGGTAGAGTTGTGGGCATTTCCAATTTAATGAGCCCTGTAGGGAGATTGTCTACATGCAACCATGAATCTGTTAAAAAATGCCTCTATTATAACTGACTGTTGTGTTTCAGCTGGATACTGATGATGCCAAGGTAACATTTGAGGAGGAGCCAGGACATGATGTGTACAGTGAATCCCAGATGCCACTATAGACATCTGGATTGGACCACGCCTTAATTCACTTTAAATGTTTCATGGGAAAAAAAGAATGCTTTAATATGATATTGTGTATAGATATTTCTCTGTCTCATAATTCTTATGTGTTTTAAGTATTTAAATAAATATTAGGCTAATACTGCCTTCACTCTCTCTGTAGTGCATTTACCCCCTTATTGCTGTTAGGCTCATTGGCATCCAAAATTACTTATATGTGCCCTACAATGGACTGGCGTCCTGCCCAGGGTGTACCCCAGCCCTGTGCCCTGTGATGGACTGGCATCCTGCCTAGAGTGTACCCCAGCCCTGTGCCCTGCGATGGACTGGCATCCTGCCTAGTGTACCCCAGCCCTGTGCCCTGTGATGGACTGGCATCCTGCCTAGGGTGTACCCCAGCCCTGTGCCCTGTGATGGACTGGCATCCCGCCTAGGGTGTACCCCAGCCCTGTGCCCTGTGATGGACTGGCATCCCGCCTAGGGTGTACCCCAGCTCTGTGCCCTAGCGGTATGAGATGAGCTCCTGGCTCCCTGAAACTCAGGGGCAGTGCCAGGGAGGGGCTTGGGGATGCTGTAGCTTCCCCTATGATAGACATAGCCAACCCCCCCACCCACCCAAATTCCTGTGGTTTATGTAGATTTTTTTCTTTTTTAATGTGTGAATACTAGAATTTTATATCTGGCCTTGTGTTTAATACTGAACGTCATTGTAACTGTCACAGGGTGGGTACTGCATATGTGCGTGTCTGTTGGTGTATATGTCAGGGGTGTTGCAGTAAAAAGTGTGGCAACCGGAAACCCTAAATTTCAGACCACCCTCACTGAAAAGTAAAGCAACCCCATAGCACCAGCAAAAGGAAATCTCTGGCACCAACCCTGCTGCACCATGTTCAAAATAAGAGGTTGGAAAAAAGGGACATAAAACATTCAGAATTACAAACTGGTATTTAAATGTTATTTGGGCATTCCTTTGCAAATATATTTTGACATTAATACATAATATCCTAAACCAAATTTTACATCTTTGGGTCAGTATATTATTTAATAATATCTATTTATAGATTGAGGAAAACAAGAGATTACGATAATTTAAAATGATCCCACTACCTGTATTTTTAAAAAAGCTAACTTGTTACAAATTATAGATGATTGAAGAGCATGTACTAAACAGCCATAAATATAGCTACATTTTAGATTTTCCTTATGGCAAGGCACTTTAACAACAACGGTCTTTAGATTATGTTAAATTAAATATTGCTGACTAAATGTATAACAAGAATATCTAAAGGTCTGGGTGAACATCTGGAAAAAGCGGAGAACATTCTTTAAAATAACAATGAAAAAAATTAGTTTTCTGTCCATTTTGTCAGCTCATACTCTATTCAAACCATATTCTATAACATTTCTGACGTAGCACATGTCATTATTTCGAAAACTAAAAACTAAGGTATAATATCGCATCATTTTTCAGCAACTTACTGTGATTTCGAAATACTTTAAATCAATACTCAAAGTGCCTCCGACCTGTCCGTCCAAAGCGCCCTCGCAGTGTCGCAGCGGCCGATCCGGAGCCCGTGCACTTCGACGCGGAGACAGGTTGCCGCTCCATTGAAGTTTCATGAGGCTGCGCGCTTACAGGAATGCCATTCAATTTCCGAAGATCCTGCATTTTCGATTGGCTGCCTCGGGACCCGCCCACAAACAGGCAAGGTGGAGTTGAGAAAAAATTAAATTAAAAATGAAGCTGCCAAATAGACTATGCAAAGGAGAAATGCACAAGGCAGAAGATTATCAATGAAACTGCTTGCTGTGCGTTTCTCCTGCGGAAATAGTGCGCCTTACACTGGAGCATGATGATCACAGACAGCACGACATCAGATTTAAAACTTTAATACACTTATTTTAACTTTACATTCTCCCCAATCTGATTAAATTTTTATTAAATAGATATTAATCGCTACGCATAAAGTCTATAGTTACACAAAAACAGCGGGGAAAAAGAAGTTATACAGAAAAAAACAAGCGAGCAACTCGAACCACAGCCGTAGCTGAGCAAGAGAAGAGCAAAGTTGTGGATGTCTCGGCTGTTGTAAGAGAAATGGCTGGTTTGCGAGTGCCGAGCGCTGACTGGAAGAGACAGAGAGGGAGAGAGCAAGTGAGATGGAGGCGGGGGAAGTTCCCATCTCTGCGGGGACTGGAGTGTCTCTGCCCTGGACCAGCAGCGCAGTGCTGGCTAACATTCAACCCAACCCTTCCACAACGAGCTCGACACACGCATTGAGACAGGTAAGGGAACCAGCCGCTTCAAATGCAACACGATTTATTAAGATTTGGCGGTAAAACGGTCGAAAATCCACAAAATCGCCCCCTGTTGCTGTTGGTTAAATTTCACAAAAATCCCACATGCAAAAAATACAATAAAAGCGCACTATTTTAGCTAGCTATTTCTTGCTAGCTGTAGCGCGGAGAGGAAGGGAAGGGTGCGTTTCGAGGTCGCCATGCCGATTGACTGCCCCCGTGTCTCGGCTAGAAGGTGGATGACGAGCGGCCGCTTTTAATGCACAAAGTCCGCCGTTTATTCTGCGCCCTGCTCGTTCAGGTGCGATTAAAACCGATCATACAAGCATGCATCTCCTTTGTGCAAAAGCAGAACGAGGGTTTTTACCTCCACCAGGGAGCTCCACGCGGTGGCTGCAGGGATAACCCGCCGCCTCTCTGGTTAGCCATCTGGGATCGTAGTTTAATTTCTCACCGTGCGGGCTTGAGTCTCGGCTGGAGCAGGACCGCCTGAACCACGTTCCTCGGCGTTCACATTGTGCACCGTTTCCGCAAGCCGCTGTCCCGCAGCATTCGGCAATCCCAGACGGGTTAGTAGCCAGCTTACATGCCGCTTATTTTATTTTGAGTTGATTTTTGTGTTTTTTCCACCCCGCCTTGCATGTGCAGCAAAGCGCTTAGGGTGTCCAGAGGCGCCGAGCATGGCGGCGCTAGTTCTTGCTGCGTCGCCATTCTACCGCCCCAGCCATACCAGCCGTCTCTGATGCTACATTTTCGATTTGAACTGCGTTAAAAATAACAGCAGCCGCAACCGAGGGACATTTATGAACACGGAAAGGGCGCACGTATTTAAATCCGTGGTTTTATTGTATAGTGCCGTGGCCGGTAAATTTCACTTTTTTGTTCTGACTCGCCAGCCTTTGAAGAGCGTATTTCTGCCGCCATACCACGACTGAACCCCCTGCCTTCCAGCCCCACTCGCCGGGCTCCATAGGACATCTTTAAAAATAGGTAAGTACGTGTTTTATACACAGTGCGCAGTATGTTTAATAAGCTAACCGCGATCTTTCACTGGCATCTTGTGTGTTTCAGGTCAACTATGTTTTTGGTTTATAATTTTTATCCTGGTTGAGATTCGTAGAGGTCAACAAGGCACCGGGCGCTACGTACGGATCGCCATCTCGTTTTAGCCCGGCTGCATTATCAGCCCACTGGCTTTTTGTGGCATATATGCATCATTCGTATTTGTAATTTAATATTTAGCGGACGGAGCTAAATATTTTCAGTAAGGGTACAATTCAGCTTAATAAAGCGAAATATTATACGCTGATTGAAAACGAATTTCGCTCAAAATACACTTCCATTTCCAGTTTAAAAACCATTTTAAATACTTAAACTATGCCAAATGTAGGCTATTTTGTGTAGATGTATTCATACATCAGTAATGTTCCGTTTAGCAGATCGGTTCTTTGTGGGAATGATCTTACACCAAGCAAACTAGATATAAAATATGAAAATGTATTTTATTCTTTAAAAATCCCTGTTGAACGTAAGTTTTGCTCAATGCGTGGACTGCCAGTAAAAGCATTTTAGAGGCAGATAACGTGTAAAATAACGAATGAATTATTGGCGAAATTACGACGCCAAGTCTCCAGTCCACGCGAAGAGTTAGAGCGAGACTCGGGCGCTATGGGGCTTTTTGTTACGGCCGCCATTTGTTTCACAGTCGGTAACGACCACTGGAGAACGCCATTGCTTGCGATTTCCGTAAAAAATGTTAAAACGTAACATTTAACGTTGTATAATTTAAAAATGTAGTCGAATGAGTCGAAATTCCTGAATTAGGGGGGATAAATCCGTGCCGGGTTCCCCCCGAAGCGCACGTCGGCGGCTGAGCAGCATTGCGTAAACTGGCTCCGCAGCTCTGTGGGTGTGCGCTCTCAGGCGAGTCGGGCATTTTGCAGCCGAGCCAGTGATCCCGGCACCATTTCCCCCGTCAGCAGCAGAAGCCGAAAGCAGATCCGCCGTGGTCAGCTGGTCCGCCTGCTGCTCGCATGTCATGCATTTTGCGTGCTCGCCTCCTCCACCCGCGCCAGTCCCTGTAAAAAAAAACCCGACTCCGTCACGGATGAGGTCGCGGAAAAGAGCCTCGGAGAAAAAGCATATGGCACGAAATGCGCTTATGGGGGGAGGAAAATAGAAGAAAGAAAAAGCGACAACGCAGCCGATGAAGCTGGTTTATCCGAAGCGATTTTCCCCCTGCGGTGTGGCGCCGTGCTCTGAGTGTTATGAGGTCCTTAGTCGTCACAAATCTATAAACATGTCTTCTGTAGTGCAATACGCTCCAATGGGCGGTGTAATGAAGAGCATTTAAACATCATCCTGGGTTGGATATTTTAACCCGAGGAATTTTATAGGCTGAAATGACCTATAGGATCGTATTTTTTAAAAAAGAAAAAAAATCTTATCCAACAATGATTCGATTATGTATCCTTGTTTAGTTGAAAAATAGACGCGCTGCAGACTTGAACTCCTGCGGTTCCCTCCTCGTCTCTCGCCACCTTTTTGTTGCATCGTCCACAGCGGAGTTCTCGCGTCGTCGTTTTTTTTGTCTCATTCCTTTTTTCAAATTTCCTGTTAATCTGTTGCCGCTCGTGTAAATATCATTGAAAGGCATATGTCGGATTTTGATGTTTTTGACCTTTTGTACATGAAGTAAAAATGATGTAATAAATACTTTTGAATCAGTACGGGTACCTAAACCATACTTAAAGAGATATTTGCTAGGTTATCGCCTATTTGTGGTGACCATGTAAGATGTCAAAAATAAAGCCTAGAAAAGAGCGTGAAAAGAATCTGTCTTGTGTTCTGTAGGAGATTTAAATATTGGACATAAGATTAAAAGTCAGTGATTTTAGTTTGAGATCATTCTGAATTGTGCTTAACTGTAATACTGCCTTTTCTTTAAACTCAGTGTTTTTTTTTCTCTCTCTCTAGAGACAACTAAGACTGTAGAGAATGAATGGAGAAATGGAAACATCCGCTAAAGATCAAGGTGAAGGATTTATACAGGGTTGTTGTGGTCTGCTGCATTTCCTTCTCTGCATAATCCCTTTTCTATGTATTAAAAGCAAATCAGAATTGTAGTTGTAGCCTGTGTCTTTGAAACATGGGCTGGGAAATCCAGTGTGAATGTGATTCAGCTGATGTGCTTCCTTAGCTTTATACTGTTATTAGTTGCCTTGCATATTACCCTTTAAAGGCAGGTGATTTTAGACTTTTTCCTTTAAATTTTGAGTATCTCAGTGATGCAATAGGAAACTGAAGACTAGATTTTATGGTATTTGGTAAATTTTTGGGGGCTTTGTGTTAGTCATCAGAACCAGATGGTATGCATTATTCACCTGATGTTTATGTGTCTTATTTTAATGTTACATTTTAATCTGATGTAGGCTGGGGCAAGGATGATTTGCTGAAGTTGCTGGATGGCATGAAGGGAAATCTCCCACAGAATGACATCAGTAAATACAAAACTGCAGAGTCTCACCTGGATTGGGAGAAAGTGGCCTTCAATCACTATTCTGCAGAGATGTGCAAGCAGAAGTGGCTGGAGGTGTCCCGTGAGGTGGGCCAGTGTCACAGCAACGGCAGTGTTATGGCGTAATGCTGCGTTCCATTTACCTCGGAGGTCGGAGCTGGGAATGACCTCACACCCAAGTTAACCGGGTTCCAGTTCAACAAGTCAGATAGCCATTTGGCAATACCAAGGACCTGTTTCAAAAAGCAGGATATCTTTCTTAGCTGGTTTTAAGGTACCCTAGTTAATGACCTTTATCTTCATTCACTTGCGTTTAGCACAGAATACCTTAAATCTGACAAGCTATGCAGCTAAGCAAGAAATCCTGCTTTATGAAACAGACCCCAGTTCTAGCTAGGTTCATTGTTAGCCATTGATAGTAGTGTCAGTTCGTAACAATGCATTACGCAGTATTTTGCGCATACAAACACCATAGCAACATGTCCACAGATAGCAGTCATACAATACTGTGTACGAGTGATTTAATGAAGCACATAAAGCATAAATATAATAAACAGTATATAATTAGAGCTTTCACTCCTTCTGATGAAAGCTGCAGCCATCTTGAATTCTGGGGCTGGGGTTGCAGAGGTTCCTCCAACTTTGAGTTGGAATTCTGACTTCAGGGGACGTTCCAGTTGAAATTTCTGACTAGGGACTCAGAAATATGCACCTTACGAGTTCAATTAGAATGCAGCGTTATGCCTGTGACTGATGTAATTGACATGGGGATGTACCTAAGTCTGCACTGTCATTATCAGTGTTTTGGTACCGTTTGTCTTTTGGTCGTTGTAGCATTTTTTCCTTTTCCATGATTTCAGGTACGCAAGTTTCGTACATTATCTGAGCTGATTGTAGATGCCCAGGACTATATCAAGAACCCATACAAGGGAAAGAATCTGAAGGTATGCTTTTGAATCAAAGCACAATGCCATGTGTTGGGTACAGACATTTTCATTTTCATGAAAACAAACGTGACCTTAATTGCAAAAATCCAAAAAAGATTGCAGAGTGGCAGTAGATCTATTAAATGTACTTGTTAGATTAACCTGCTGCATTAACAATGTTGATATGGTTTTCTTAAGCAAACTGCATAATTTTCTATTTTGTTTTGAACAGAAACATCCAGATTTCCCAAAGAAGCCTCTCACACCGTACTTCCGGTTCTTCATGGAGAAAAGGGCAAAGTATGCCAAGCTACACCCTGAAATGAGCAATCTGGATCTCACCAAGATCCTTTCAAAGAAGTACAGGGAGCTCCCTGACCGCAAGAAGGTAAGCACACCAGAGATCCTTATTTAACCATGCCTCCATGCCTGTCATGGACAAAATACTATACTAATAAATGTAAGCTAAACAGTTGGCCTGGTCCACTCCATAACAAAGTGTACACTGTCTCTTTAAATGGGCAAATAGCTCTTTGGCCTGCTAAAATCAGATGGTGTATGGTCTCTCTTGTGGCATTGTATGAGCTGGTCCTCTGCTGCCACCTAGAGGTCAGAAGGAATACACAGACCCTGAGATGGGTGGTTGGAACATTTCTTGGTTTGAATGAGGGTGTGTAAACCTGCTGTGCAGCATTTTTGCTATGAAATAGCTGCTGGTGATAATTTTTTAACCTGTGTTTGTTTCTTTTAATACAGGCAAAGTACATGGAAGACTTTCAGAAAGAAAAGGAGTTATTTGAACAGAACATGGGAAAATTCAGGTTTGTTTCATTCCTGACCGTCTTTTCTGCCATTAATCCTGTTAATTCTCCAATTAGTATAAAATATCAACAAGGATATATCTGCTATCTACTACTATTATATTATTATTATATATATTATCAATTGCAATAATATTTTAGATTATTATGATAGCTGTATGCTGTTTTAATTTAAGAATTTTCCTGCTGAGAGAGAAGTAAATAACCTTTTTAAAAACAGAATTACTACCTCCAAAGTAAGTGCAGTATCAAGGGGAGATGTTTACTTTGAGGTAATTACAGTTTTTTAGGCATATATCAAAGTAGTGTGAATGTTCTACCCATTTAGTGCCACATACTTAGACTGCTTTTCATGGGATTGCAAAGATCATCTATTCATCCAGATTGTAGTGTCTTTTGGCAAATGCAAAATAATCCAAAAGAAGATAAATTGTTAGATGTTGGGAAGGGGTGGAAAAGCAGACATTTTTACTTTTCTGATGGATGGTATTGCATATAAAACAATCAAAAACCATGCTGAACAGTTGCACACCAGTGGAACAATTTGTTGTCACTTGAGTAAATGTTCAGGATGAACTGTGGATGAAAACATGTAGTTGGTTTTTTTTTGTATGTTGTTCAGTTCAAATCCTTAAGCACCCCTGCCGAGTGCCTGTAGATAGTGTGTTACTGCGAAGGCTGGTGGTTGACGGGCTCCTCTTGTCAGTCTGAGCGATACGGCTCACTGAGTAAGTGACACTGAGCTGCCTGTGCAGGGAGGACCACCCAGACCTGATGGAGAACATGAAGAACATGAAGCGCTCAGACGTACCAGAGAAGCCCAAGACTCCACAGCAGCTCTGGTACAACCATGAGAAGAAAGCCTTCCTCAAGGCACATGCAGACGTAGGTGACACCGGGGGTCCTCGTCTCTTCTGGGAGTAGCTTTGCCTGCACAGTGGTGTCTGCTTTGGTACCTTAGGGCAGGATCCTTATCTCCCCAGATCTCTTCATACTGAATTGTTATGTATGAGGAATTTTAACTTTGGTCCTCTGCAGGCTACAACAAAGGAGATCAAAGAAAGCTTGGGGAAACAGTGGACACAGCTGTCGGACAAGAAGAGACTGAAATGGATCAACAAGTCTCTGGAGCAGCAGAAACAGTACGAGGTGAGCACCAGGCCAACCTGCAAGAGCTTCCCACTGCATGGCTGCAGGTAATGTGCGAGTATGAGTCTTCCTGTTATCTCTGTGTTCCAGGAATCAATGCGTGAGTTCATCCAGCAGCACCCAGAACTGAATATGTCCCAGGAGAGCCTCAATAAGTCCACACTGACCAAGGCCGAAAGGCAGTTGAAGGACAAGTTTGACGGCAGGCCCACAAAACCTCCACCGTGAGTGATGCAACCCAGGTTTTTGTGTTGTATGACCACCTTACATCTAAGTCACTTATTGACTTGCCATTTTTCCCCCTCTGCTGCCAGAAATGGGTATTCCATGTTCTGTGCGGAGTTGATGTCCACCATGAAGGATGTTCCAAGCACCGCACGCATGGTCATTTGCAGTCAGCAGTGGAAGCTCCTCAAACAGAATGAGAAGGACAGTTACCAGAAACGCTGTGAACAGGTCTGCATCCGAAACAGATAGATGTACAGCAAAGATGCATGTCCCAGCCAAAACTGCAATTCGGAGAGTCCTCAGAGTGATTGAATGACCATGTTTGGGTGATAGTGTTTTAACTGTGATTTATGGCTTTTTTTTCCCCAGAAAAAGAAAGAGTATGAAATTGAAATGAACCGCTTTCTTTGTGTAAGTTTACCTTTTTCCTCCTTTTCCATAAACTACTTGCTCCAAACTTGTTCTTCTGGGGTTAAGGCGGAGCATTTTATTTACTCCACCAGAGTATACCTGAAGAGGAGCAGCAGCGTGTTCTGGGTGAGGATAAGATGCTTGGGTTCAACAAGAAAGGAGGAAGCAGCCCCTCTTCTAAGAAAACCTCCAAGACAAAGGTGAAGAGTTGCGGGGGGGGGGGGGGGACGGGGGGGGGGGGGGACGGGACGGACGGTATTGCCCACTGCCTGTCCTGCAGTTGTGCAACTTCAAACTTTCTTATCAGCAATGTATCAGGGACTCATCAACATGGTGTGGAATAGCTCAAATAACCACGTGAAGTATAGGATAATCCAGGCAAACCTGGAAGTTAAAATGGCCTTATTTTCAATATTTATCTATCAGAATCAGCTTAATTTTGTTGAGTGTGTGTACAAAATGTGTGTGTGTGTGTGTGTGTACAAATTCTTGGCCTAGTATAGAAATTCATTTCAAAGTCGCGTGAACTGGGTTACAACATGCCAGGTTAACATTTGGTGCATAAACAGTGTATAGCATGCAGTGCAGTCAGTGTTTATATAGTGATAGAAGGCAGAGAGAAGCTGAAAATCATTGTGCTGCAGAAATAACAGGGAGTCTGAAGGAATCAGCAGAGTTGGGTGCATGGAGAAAGCTGAAATGCAGATTTTTTAATAGGAACTGTAGCAGAATGGAATAATATCTGGTCTCAAAGTTTTTTACAAAGGGAAGAAACTGACGTCTTCAGCCTAGTGATAAAATTGAAGTTGACGTGTTTGTGAATAACTGAAACTATCTGTCAGTCATTCATAAGTAGTGCTGAAAAACATGCGATGTTTCCATATAATTTGATCGTTGCCCTGGCTGTATTAGTAATCGCTCTCCTCCTTTCCTCCATAGGGTGGCCTGAACAAGCCTAAGCGGCCCATCTCCGCCATGTTCATCTTCTCAGAGGAGAAACGGCCAAAGCTGCATCAGGAGCGGCCCGAACTGTCGGACAGCGAGCTGACTCGCATGCTGGCTCGCATGTGGAACGAGCTCTCCAGCAAGAAGAAGGTGACGGCTGAAGCTCATCACATAGCACCCACCAACCCACCAAGTCATCCTCCCGCAGTGGTGGATAGTTCAGGTCCAGAAAGTAAAAATCCAGACAGATTTTGTTTCGGCCAACTAGTCAAGAGGCACAGAGTACTCAACTGATTGGTTGAAACGAAGTCATGTTACTTTTTGGACCTGAGCTATTCACCTCTGTCTTCCCATAAGGGATAACACTGTAAACATTGAGATATGGTGTGTTCACTATAAAGAACAAGGAACATTCTGGAAGTTGCATATATTGAACATGTCTTGATAAATGCATGGGTACAATGAAAGCTCAGACATTTGTGTAAAGTATCACTATTTGTGTAGCTTTGTACTGCTATTACAAGCTAGACTAAAGCCTTTACAGGTAGCATTGGTCATGAAAAAATGACTCTGGCCATATCTATATACATATAATTTAATCACATAGGAACACATGAAAGTAGTAGATCCAATATAAACTAATGTATGACTTATGTCATCAGGATAGGGAGGACTGAAGGAAATGTGTATCTGGAGGTTAAACTCCAGGTGAGAATGGGAACATGAGCATCCTTGAGAAATGTGTCACTGCCTTACAGGAAAAGTACAAACGTCTGGAAGCAGCTCTGAAGGCCGAATCAGAGAAGAAGGAGCAGGAGGAGCGTAGCCGGCTGCCTGAGTCACCCAAGACGGCCCAGGACATCTGGCAGCTGAGCGTGATTGGGGACTACCTAGCTAGGTTCAAAGTATGTGCATGGCCACCATTACTGGGAGTGAGCAGTGGAGAGTCAGCTAATGTCCTTCAGTAAAGCTGCAGCAGCTAAAGTTTGCTTGTTGGCAACACTGTGACTTTAAGGTTTTTTTTTTTTCCCCCGTAAACTGTGTCACGCTGGTTAAAATTGTGGTGTCTTTGCCCTGCTTGTTTGAACGATCCACCTATCTTCCTGCAGAGTGACCGGGCAAAGGCCCAGAAAGCCATGGAGATGACCTGGAACACCATGGAGAAGAAGGAGAAGATTGTATGGATTAAGAAGGCAGCAGAAGACCAAAAAAGATACGAGGTACGTGGGATTCTTTTCTGCCGGTGCATGTTGGTTGATTTGATACGGTGACTCTTGTATGAGCCTCCCTCTGTGCTCATCGCTCATTTTCTTCAGAGGGAGCTCAGCGAGATGCGCTCTCCAGCTGCAGTTGTCACCTCAGGGAAGAAAATGAAGTTTGAGGGTGAACCGAAGAGGCCACCATCGTGAGTATCCTAGCGCTAACATGTGGGTGATTATTAATGCGATTGGAAGCAATCTGGGCACTTGAAGAGCAGGCCAAGCGCTTCACTCGGCCCTAGTGGCCTTCAGTGGCGGCAGATTCACACCGCCTGTCGTCCTGTGGTCTTCTTCAGGAACGGCTACCAGAAGTTCTCTCAAGAGCTGCTGTCGGGCGGGGAGCTAAACCACTTGCCCATGAAGGCACGCATGGGGGAAATCGGGGGGCGCTGGCAGAGGTTACCGCAGAAAGAGAAGGACCGCTATAAGAAGATGGCAGAGGAGAAGCAAAAACAGTACAAGGGGCAGCTGGAACACTGGCTCAAGGTATGGCTGTGGTGTCCCAGCGAAATGGCTGCCACTTACTGTTTGCTCCTGTTTTTTCTTCCAGCTTTTAACTGTTTTCAAGTAAATTGTAAGCTCGAGGTCATTTATATGTAGTGCATTTATCATTTTTTTTCCTGTGCCATAGACCTTGTCATCACACGAGAGAGCCATGTATATAGAATATCATTCAAATGTAAGTAAACTCTACAACCACGGGAAATACCAAAAAATCTCATGGTATCTGATGGTTTTCTTTCATTAATTTCCAAAGCTAACCACAGAATTGCTATATTCCCCCTACCAGAAGCGCAAAAGCACAGGAAAACCAGGAGGAACAAATATTAAGTTAAAGGCTGGAGGCTCCAGGAAATCAGTAAGTTCCTTTGCTTGCACTAGATTATGGAGTCAGTCTTTCTTTACCAGCTTGTACCAGCTCACCTTTTTTTTTCTTCACTGCTCAGGACTCAGAAGATGATGATGACGACGACGATGATGATGACGACGATGATGATGACGATGATAAGGCATCATCTGATGAGTCATCCAGTGAGGAGGATAGTGAGGAAGAGGATGACGATGATGAAGAAGAGGTATGAGCCTGGAATCATTTTTAAATGTGACGCTTTGGACAGATTCAGTATAGGCCTGGGTCTTTTACGTATCTAAGAGTGGCTCTCAGACCGATTGCGCAGGAGATCAATAAAAGACAAACAGATTTAGTGCCATTTTCAACATATGCTTCTGGTGACTTTCGCTGCAGAACGAGGAGGAAGATGACGATGAGGCTGAGGATAAAGAAAATAAATCTGGGAGCAGCAGCAGCGGCTCGAGCTCAGAAGATTCCTCGGACTCTGATTCAGACTGAGACCCACCCACCCCAGACCCCACCCCCACCCCCTGAAGGACTGTAGGCAGCCAAGTATCTGGGGGTAGAATCCGCCCCTCTGGATCTTCCTGGCCAACAAAAGGAGTCCGTCACTCCCCGTCTGTCATTTCATGCTTTTCTTTTTTTGAAAGCCTATCACCGTCTTATTTTTGAAATCTCTGAGATCTGCGGAGATATTGGCTAGAAAAACGCATAAAGACGACTGGAACCCTTCCCCCCCCCACCCCCACCTCCCACCCGTGCTTTTCCTGCCATACGGACGATTTGGCTTCAGCGTTGATGAAGCTGGCGTCATTCACCGGAATCTCTTCAACGTGCAGACTTTATCAGTGGTCTACAAGGGGAAGGCTCTCCATTTGGCTCATTATTTCTATTGTTTTCTGATGAAAGAATGAAACTATTCCAATATATTTTATGTGAAATGCCCCTTTGGATCTGTGTGGTGTAATATACAGAAAGCGGTTTGAGGGGAATGGAAAGAGAACGTACCGCTTCAAACTGCTTCTCGGTCTTGGAGAAAATTCTCAGATATGTTCTGCTTGTTTCTGTTTCGGCTCCTAAAGTCAAGGATTGTGTAATTCTGGGAGGGTGTTGGTGGCCAGGTCACTGAACTCTGAATTTGTTGTTTCCATCTTTTTATCGGTGTCTTTTTGACAATGTTACTTTAGGAAGAATGAAGCCATTTTGAATGCACTGTGTTGGTAGGCAGAACGCCAGTGAAATGGTGCCTTTTTGTCTCTGGGTCTTGTTTCGAGTAACTTAGCAGGAATCTTTCTCTGCTTATATCTCTGTGATGTCCGTTTTTACAGGATGAGGGAAAGTGAACTGACATGTAAAATAAGGATTCTACAGGAAGGTGTCTGACCTTGTAAAATTACTTGAGTGGTGCGTTATTTGATGTTAGCGTTTACATTAAAGCTTTACAGTTTAATGGTAGGTTTGACAGTTTTCGATTTACTTCAGTGGTCTCCACAGACACTGCTTCAAATTCTTGACGACTTATTATTCATTCAGTCAGCTGAGGAATATGATGACATGAAAAAACTTGTAAACTTGTAAATGTAAACCAAATGGTAAATTTGGCGTGCATTTTCAGCTTTCAAATTCTAGTTATTTGCGCATGTAGATGGTTCTGGTACAACTGGAGTTGTTTCAATTCTTAACCACTATTTTACAGCTGTTTCTTAATGTATGTATACCCAAGATATTTATTGTTTTAACACTTGGTTTGATTTGTTTTTAGATCCCAAAATTTGTCCTGAAAAGGAATGCACTTAAAATATATATCCTTTCCATTTCCCAGATTTTTTTTTTTATTATAAATCTTGTACCTGAGCCATGTGTAATGAGGAATTTAAAAGTTAGTCTGTTCTTTAGAAAACTCACGCACTTGTGCAGGGCCAGTTAATCCTACAGGCGGCTGCCTAGGGCACTGGCTTCTGAGGGGGTGCTGACTGGGCTCGGACACGGGGCGACGGCGGTGATGCTCGCCTAGGGAGCCACAAGGATCGGGACCGGCACTGCACATGGGACGGCTGTAACCTAGATATTCAGTGGCCTGAATCCAGACTTCACCATCCCTCACCACCGAGACCCTCCTGCATCCATTACACTGTAAAAGCATTAGCAGCAGTGGACAGCCTCTTCACAGTAGTTCTGGCCGTTTGTGTCTGTTGGTGGAAGTGCTGCAGCAGAAGAGTAGCCCGTCTCCTCAGCAGTAAGTCAGGGATACCAGGATTTTCTTTGTAACCCTGGGCAGCTATGTTTAAAGCAAGGTCCCTTTCACTTTTTAATCTGTGCTTTCTTACTTGGGACAAAGACTTATATTTTTGTTTAGTTAAAAAGAGGAGAAAACGAAAATCAAATGAGGGTTGTTCCATTTCGAAGCTCTGAAGAACAAAAGTCATGACAAAGGGGATTTTGTAGCAGTTGCAGGTTTTGTGGTATTTATAATTTCCGAAGGGGGGGTTTGCGACGCAGTAATTTGGTAAAGGGGGCTGGGGGGATGAGCTGCTCTGTTTTTTGTGTTTGATTTATTGTTGTATGGTATTTGTATATAATGCTTTTTGTAACAAGTGGACATTGTTTTATTTGTACCTTTGTTTAGCTGTAGATTCACACTGGCATTAATAGCCAGGTCAGTGGGGACTCTTTGGCAGGGGCGAAATTCTGTACAGTTTGGCACATCACCAGCCCTGGGAGGGAATGAATGTTTTTATTTTGTGCTCTCTTTCTGTTTTGTTTATATTCCCTTCTCACAATTTTTTGTAGAAATGATTTTAAAAGGTAAAAAAAGCTTTGCAGATTTGTATGGCTGAATAAATATGAAACATTTCTGATGTTTTCTATAGCTAAAAGTGTTCTGTATTTCCTGCCATTTACTATTTGGGCAAGTAAACTTGTTTTTACCAAAGCCTCCAGCCTCTGTCATTCTTCACTTTCAGCATGCCCCAGGGTCGATGACTTTATAAATTAATTTGAATTATGTGACTTAATTTCTGCTCCAACAATGTGCACTGCACTTAGAATAAACCATTTGTTGTGTTTGTACAAGAAGGCATAGTCCCATTAATTACAATAAAGGAAAACATGAGTAAAATTACACATAATTCATCCAGTTCCCCTTAATTTCATATTGTATTTAAAATTCAATCTAATGTTTGAGAGATACAGTATTGAAACTTTTCAATAAGTGAACTAAACATGAGTTTTGGGTCAACTGTTGCATACAACACTGGGCGTGTGAAATGGTTTTGTTCTCTGCTTAAATTATGACTACTGAACATGGGTGTTGCTGCCATTAAATCTGAGGGGGACATGTCCCCCTCCCATTTCATAATTATATAATAATATTAGTTTTATGCCAGTGTGCCCCCCCCACATTCAAAATGCTTCTGACGCCCCTGCTACTGAATGGTGGTTTGTGTGTACAATGGGTTTCTTTTCAAATTGTGTAGTGTTATAATGTTCTGTGTTAATTATGTTTAATTTAACTGGCCTATGATACGTATTTTCTGTAAAAAATTAGCCTAATCTACATAATGAAGCCTCCTGTGAACTATAAAAAATGCTAATCTGGCTTCTCTGTCATTGCTAAAATATTGGTAACAGGACGCATCATTTTCATTAAGAGTATTCTTTACCTTGGCTCATCAAAATACCGTAGCATTAATTATTGCTGAGATTATTAATATTCGCTGTATAACATATCACATAAAAATTAATAGATTCAGTGGATGCCACTGTCGTCTCACACTTCCAAGGCTGTACGTTCGGATGCACCAATGCTCCGTGCCTGGAGTGTTTTATGTCCTCCTGCAGTCAGGCTAATAACGTGTGCATGTATGTGCCCTGTGAGGACATCCTGTCCTGGGCATACCCCAGCCTTGTGACCTGCGCTGCCTGGGATAAGTTACAAGCCCCCTACTGCTCTTCTGAAGATAAAGCGGTTTTAAGATGGATTGAAACATTATTTTCTATATAATTAAATTATAGTGTTAAAACGTAGTACAGTTGCAAATATCAAGCGCCAAAAAAGGACAAGAAACAACCGCAGTGGCGTCACACAACTAAACGAAGGTGTCCCCTAATAAAGGTATTTAATTGGAAGCTGGTTCACCTGTTTGCATTCCAATTGGTTAGATGAAACGTCAATCAAATAATGTCGGCTTGAAACAATAAGTCGACGTTAAAAATGGTTGCCTTTAAATGTTCCTTTCCGTTGTTGTACAGATGTTATGTAAAGTGGTTACTTCTGCAAAACCTCGTTGTAATCAATCATTTTCAAGCATTTGCGGCTCACTCGCGACCGCGAACATGCTCCGGCGTTGGCGATTGATTAGTTTTGCCTTTAAATGCAGGACCAAAAAAAAAATGGCAGCTGATGCTTAAAGCGTGTTTCCTGTTGAGCATTTGACAGGATAACTGAGAGACGTGATGATGATGATGATGATGATGATGATGATGATGATGATGATGATGATGATGATGATGATGATGATGATGATGATGGTGGGGGGCTTAGCTCCTTGCCATGTGTGATGTTTGGCCAGGGGCTCGCAGACAGCCGCGGCCGCGGGCACCGCTAGACGGAGCAGCAGGTCTGCTCTGTGACGGTCCGGCCGGCCCCGTCTGCTTTGGGTGAGTCTGGTGCTCCGCTTGTAATAAAACGCCACTCAAACAAATAAGTCTGAGATCACCGAAATCATTTCTTTAAGTAACACCTCGGCGATAGCGAATTCCCTCTTCGGAGTTTCGATTCCCTACACTCGCTTGTTTGATCTGTTATTTTACAAGAAACGGCAAAAGGGACGAGCAGTTCCTGTATATGCTCCATATATTAATGGCCAGAAAAGCCGATGTCGGCGTTTTGTCAATCGGTAGTACAAGGAATCCTGGATATATAGACAGTTTTTCCGTCATAGGTTGGTTGCAGTTTTTTGTGAGGCACACGAACTGTACGAAGGTAATTTCCCCCACACCCTTGTGTAATAATTGTATTTGTGTAATATCGTATTGTTTGTTATTACATTAGCGTGACTTATTTGGTTGAGATTCTTTGTTGAACGTTAAAGACACCCAAATAATGAGCAACGTGTCAATAATTACTTATAACAAGTGGATTCCTTAATGCATGTTTTCAATCTACAGGACGGTATCGAGAGCAGTAACCTGTAAATATTCTAATTTGTTGCTGCTGCTCAGAAACAACAGCTTGACACGGGGTTGTACACTAATGTAAGTACACCCCCTTACAAGTTATCTCTTTAAACAAGTGGATATAGATGGTCTTGGTGTGATTTAAAAATAATTGTTTTAAAATAAGGATTTCCAGGGTGTTCTAAAGCTCCTATTGTTACTTTTTCTTTCCTGTCCAGTGCTTCACAGCTGCTGTGCCACAAAATGTAGGGAGGTGTCTTATACCCAAGCTTTTGCAAATGACAATGGAGGAAATGACCCAGTCAGACCTGGACAACACTAAGCTGGAGGTGCGTTAGCAAACAGACACACTGCACTGCTGCATCTGTTCTGAAAAACCACAAAATACTTTTCCTGGCCTCCAGCAACCATCACCGATGGCTATTTCTTTTTAACATGTCTAAGTCGGTATACTCCACTGGAGTTGGAAGGAGAGTTCCTGTTAGTTTGTAATTCAAGAACTGCTGCAACAAAGACAACATGAAAAACAGCATTTGCTGCGCCTACATGTGGATTGTAGGGTTTGCCAAAGTTGTGCAATCAGAATCAGCTGATGTGTAATAAGAGCAGCTTCTTTCAGTCCGTAGCTCATGACATCCTGATGGATTTGGTAGAGGATGCCTGCCTGGGCCTGTGTTTTGAGGTCCACCGTGCTGTCAAACAGGGATATTTCCTCCTGGATGAAACTGATGTGGAGAGCATGAAAGACTTTGGTAATTTTTTGCTTCCCCAGCACATACATTTTTTTTTTTAAATCTTAACTCCTGTCCATTTCTTTTCCTAAATTCCATAAAAATAGATATAAAAATGTAAACAATACTGTCTGTCTATGTTATGTATCCCTATCTGTCAATCTACGTGTATATCTACCTATGTATGTATGTATGTGTGTGTGTGTGTGTATATATGTGTGTATATATATATATATATGCGCATTACAAATAGTTTTTGCTCATTATCCATGGCATTTTTGCCCTGTTGCTGGCACAACAGTGATTCTTGAGTCCATTGCTTTTCCTCACAGAAATCGTGGACCGGCCTGGAGTCGACATCTTTGGCCAAGTTTATAACCAGTGGAAGAACAAGGAGTGTGTGTGTCCAAACTGTGAGCGCGGCATCGCCGCTTCCCGCTTTGCCCCGCACCTGGAGAAGTGCCTGGGCATGGGCCGCAACAGCAGCCGCATCGCCAGCCGCAGGTCAGCCGGGGCACTGCAGAGACATTGCTGCCTCTTTCCGCTGTTGCTAGCGTTAGCAGGTAGCAGTTTGACTTCCCTCAGATTAATGAGCATATGTGCACTGTGCCACTATGTTTTGGTGTTATCCCACTCATGCTTAATAGGTGGGAAACTTAATAGCTTTTATCAACTGCATCTGTATCCTGGGTAACTCTATTGTGTATATATTGTGCAATATTTTAAATCAGAATTGGTTACGGAGTTGTCCCGTGTTCTCTAGTAAACACACTGAGTAAATAATTGAGATACGTTTGAAGTATGTTTTGTTTTTTCTCCTCTGCCTCCTTATTTGAACAGAATAGCCAGTAGCAACAATGTGAACAGATCAGAAAGTGACCAAGAGGACAACGATGACCTCAATGATAATGACTGGTCGTATGGGTCCGAGAAAAAAAGTAAGTGTGCTGGTATCCAGTATCTGCTCTCACTGGCTTTTAATTCTTTAGTCACACCGCATCTCCAAGCTTATGACAGGTAATTTAATGTCTGTTTTGAGTCTGTGGTAGATGATCATTAGAGACTGGAATCGCCACTATAGATTCTTTCAACTTGTAGCTGGTCATTTTTTTTTCTCTTTGCAGAATCTTTTTCTTGGCAAGTAAAAATTATCACCAGTTTGCCCTCTCACAGCAGAATGTTATTAAACTTGACTTTTCTTTTATAGCCAAGAAGCGAAAATCAGACAAGGTATTTTACATTATTCAAAATGAACTTTTATGTGAAGTAATTTTTGTAACAGTTTTCCTTTGTTCCTTTTCCTTCCTGTCTGTGTAAGATGCACAGTTTGGTTGCTTTCGGTACATTAATACCTTATTTCTGGGTGCTTTTATGTAATGGAGTTAATAATAATAATAAATAATAAATAATAAATAATAATAATAATAATAATAATAATAATAATAATAATAATAATAATAATAATAATAATATATTTCTCCACCCCCAGAACTCAAATTCGCCTCGAAGATCAAAATCATTGAAGCATAAAAATGGTGAGTAGTACTAATGTAATGTGTCCACAGCCTCAAATGAAATTTATATTATTTTCTTGTCCTTCAGAGTATAGCGTCCTTAAAAAGGATCCTGATTTGGTGTTATTAATCCAGTATCTTTTTTTAATTATTATTATTATTATTTGCGTATGTGTTTAATGTATATGTGCAAAGATTGTGGGATGTTACCACATTATACTATGAGTAGATGCTGGGTTGTTGCGCTGGGGCCAGGGGGAGGGTAGGGTTTGAGATTCTCTAATCACTTAAAGCTAATTACAGCTGAACTGCAGGGGAAATTTGTAATGAGCCGAGATTACACAATTAGCTAAAAATGGCATTCTTCAGTATTATTAATCATTCTGTGTTTTAAACAGAAATATAGGCTTGTAGTTATTTATAGGAATTCTGTAAATGGAGCAACTGAAATAACACCAGCATTTTTATCTGTTTTTGGCAGACATGCAGAGGGGTACTGTTTGGGGTGTGCGATGATCTGTGGCTGCTGACATTTACTCTAACTGTATTAACTGTTTAAATACTGCGAGTGAGGTATCCCTATTTTGCCAGAATACTCCACAAACCTAGAACGTTTTGTCTTAAGATTTTACCACCAATATTCATAAGTAAGGCCTGCCTTCTGTGATTTGGTGCACTTTCTAAATTCAGACAGAAAACATTTACCAAGTTTGCCAAAAGAAGAAACAAAAACAGCAATATTTGTGATTTGATATTGAATCGCCCATAAACTTCAACTTGTTCAAACGGTATGCACCATGACTGTTAACAGTACTTCTTCCCATATGTTTGTGAAAATCACCTAATTTTGCCTTTTTTGTCCTGAACAAATCTGTTTTAAAGAGGACCACACCAAACACATTCAAGAATGAGTGTGGTCCTCACGGTTTGGACCTTAAAAGATAAGAAATGTGGGCAAATCCGATTTGATCTGGAACATCTGTGTGTCAGATGAGGAATATTTATTTGGTGTTAGATTCTTCTGTCTCCTAGAACACCTTGAGCTTTGGGCTTTCATTATATACATTATCTTAAATCGACAGGTGAGATTTCAGCTTTAGGTGCGGCATGTTGGTCTTAATCATATAACGTAATGTGAGTTATTTCCATGGGAGCTTAGTAGTGTATCTGACATATAATGTAGATCTTAATGTGGTTGCCCTTTTTTCTTGGTACTCTATTATACTAATGTGAATGACTGTGCTACTTAAATGGATGCCCCATTACAAATATCCTAAGTTATTGCAAAAACAAGCTTAAGGATATTTAGCCTTTAAGATGGCATTGTTGAGGCCTGGGTGGTGCTCTTAACTAGTCTGCAACGTTCTTCAGTAACTCGAATGATCCCCTCCAGCTAGAATGCAGACTGTCCTTAAAATAATCAGGCCTTTCCAAAAAAGTCACCCCAGTTGTTAATAAAGGCTGTTTTTGAGGGACTCCAAGTGACTAACCAGAGTAGCCTAATATACGGTGCATGTCCTATACAGAGAATTGGTAAGGCTGTTAAGTTTTTACATTTTCTTCAAGTGATGTTGGCAGGAATCTTTTGGGTCTTGATAATTCCAGAACAGCCAAGTAAAGTACAGAATTCGTTGCTATAAAATGAATCCAATTTAGCTTGAATATGAAATGGGCCCTGTGCTGATATTCCACTATTAGGAATTTTGGCATGTCTGTCTATTGAGTGCTTACTATTGAGCACCCTATCCAGAATGGCAGGCTGTTTAAAGCAGAAAATGTTGGTTTGAGCTGGTCAATGGTGTGCAGGTTGTCTCTTCTTTGACCCCAGTCTGTAACCCAGGCTGCTGCTGATGCCCAGGGGTCAGAAATGGCTGGGTAATCAGAACAGGCCAAATCCATCTCGTTGTCAGTCTGTCTGATATCTAATAGCATGTTAATGTGCAAATCCTGTTCTCTCGCTGTGCTGTAAATAAGCATTTTTGACGTTATCTTCAGTTTGAACAGGGTTCTCTGCTTAATTCTCACACATCACAGGCAGGCTTTTGGGCAGGACCTGGAGAGCACATATCAATTTGCTGCTATGCATACAAAAATTCTTCTTATTGTAAAGTTGTAACCAGTAGTCACTGAATTTACATCCCCCTTATCCTTGATAGCAGATGGTGTTTCTTCTGTGTTCCTATAATTAAACTAAAAACTCTTATTTGGAGTTAGTGGTGTTTAAAAGAGCCATTATTGTAGAGTTAAGACTAAGTAAATGTCTTTGATGAAACTGTGTATCTTTCAGTGTGCCTCCAGTGCACTCTTAAGGCAGCTGTTGTATCTCAGTCCAAAACTGAGAAATAAAATATGTTGCCAACCCAGTTATTCAGACAGTGCCGTTTTGAACTTTCAATATGAAGAGCCAGTAAGAAATGGAATAGGGTGGAGGATGTGTATGGCCAGAGGGGGCAGGGCACGGCGGGGAGGGACAATGTGGGGTGAAGCTCTGTGTAGCATGAGGCAGCCCTAGGAAGTATGTTTCCAGTCAAACTGGAGTTTATGGGAGATTCAATATCAGTCACAAATATTGCTGTTTGTTTCATCTTCTGCATTATGTGTAGGCTTACATACATGGTCCAATACAGCTTTGCTGACACAGGAAGGAGAATTTTAAAGATTTCATTGGAGTTGCTCATCTCACATTAGCTCTTTTTTAAATAATCATATCCTTTAAAAAAAAAAAAATAAATAATAATAATAAAGGACATTTTCTTAGTTTATTAGTGTTGTTAAAATGTATATTTCATGTTTTATTCCATACACATGGGGGGTAGGTTAGTGCACACATTAAATTTATAGAGATCTGTACTTTATTATCGCTGAAGAGCACAAAAGCAGATACAGAATCACATGTTGGAGCAGATGCCGTGCAGGAGTGTTTTCTTGCTTACTGGTCACTGTGTGTAACTGAGAATAATTACTTAGGAACTCGAGTTATACAGCACGCTTGCCGGGAGATCGGCACATTTTTCCTTTTATATGCTGATCTTCTTTTCCACCAACCTCCCCACCTCCCAGATTCCACTATAAAGAAAAGCCAGGCTTGACTCTCCCTGAAGGAAATTAAAGCCACTTGATACATCTAGACCAGGGGTGGCCAGTCTTATCCGCAAAGGGCCGGTGTGTATGCAGGTTTTTGGGATAACCTGTAGGTCAGCTGTTCAAACTCAGGTGTGAGGACTCTTCAGGCAATCACTCCTCTAATTAGTAATCTAATTAGGGAGTTGCAGCGAAAACCCGCATACACACCGGCCCTTTGCGGATAAGATTGGCCACCCCTGATCTAGACACTTGGTCTTATACTGTGAGGAGTTTTCTGTGGTTACGTGAATTTAGTGCTGCTAAGCTTGGCCTGGTACCTGGTCAGTGTGTCAGATGGAGGTGGGTCTTTCTGCTCCATCTCCTAGTTCATCTTCCGTAGTTGTGCATTACTACAGAAATACTTTTCTCCTCATCTTACCAGCTATTGAAGTTTGAGTTTATTGTTCGTTATAATTTATCAGCCTGATTCAGTTCATGCCTTCTTTTAATCTGCACCAAGGTCAAACTAAGCACTTATGTAAGTCACTCTGGCTAAGGGCGTCTGCCAAATGCTGTAAATGTAAATGTAAACTAAACCATTGAGTAGCGCTGCATGTTTGTCATGTTAGATGAGGCAGGGGAGGTTTGAGTTTTTAAAAGCGGTCTCCCTGTGTAAATAGCTGTGCTAGGATACAGAGTGTCAGTCACCGAAAGCCTAACTTTCTATTTTCTTCTCTTTTCAGGAGAACTTGGTAGCCATTTCAGTGCTGATCAGTACAGGGTACAGTTTCCCTACTCTGTCTGCTCTCATTTTAATTGAATTTGTTTCAACATCATCTTGAATTATATTAATAGTAATAGGCATCCCATATTTCTTCTGATTTGAAAGTGGAAACTAGGGTTGCAAAATTCTAGGAATATTCTTGTTAATTCCCATACTTTCCCGTTAATTCCCATGGAAAGTTTCTAATGTGGAATATTTCCAAAATTCCCCAGCTTAACTTCCCATGGAACGGAAAGTTTCAGGAAAATTTCCAGAAATTTTCCAGCCCTTTGCAACCCTAGTGGAAACAGAGAAAGTTTGCCTTACAGCGCCAGTCTGATGTGTGTTGGACTTTTAAGCTGCAAAACGTACTTCCACCCCACCAGTGTCTTTACCTTGTTCATCCACAATTTCTGCTTTGAAAAAAGATATTGTAGCTGCCAAGCTCACTTTCCTCCTTTCTTCTGAGGGAGCACTAATCTTTTCTATAATATTACCAAAACAGTAGCACGTGGCTGCTGCATTCATTCAATGAACCATGGTATGCATTTGTTGGGTGTAGGTTTTCTGTTTTTTTAAGAATACCATATGACTGGTTGGGATTTCATTCTTTCCTGTGATAGGCTGATGTGTGCTATCAACAATGTTCCTTATTGACAGTTAGATTCTTTTTTTTTTGTTTATACAAAATTGACTTATTGCCATACACAATTTAGTTTACCGTCCAGCCCTAGATCACAGTAATCCAGTAAAAGTCTGTAAACCGCTAACCTGTAAGTCCCCCCCCTCACAGTACCATTGTAACTCTGGAATAAATTATGAAACTTTGGGACCAGATGAGCTGAGATCACTGTTAATGACGGTAAGATATTTCCTTTCTCTTTTCTGTTGTGGAAATATTAATCATTAACAATTTCCTTGAGCTGAGAATTTTTGTGAGTAATTTGGATACTCACACCCACCTTTCTCAGTTGGGTGACCTTTTTTTTTTTATAGGCATTGGAGTGAAATAATTTGTGCTTAATTATGTTACTTCATAAAATGTGCAGTCCCTTGTCCAAAAATCCATCCACTTCAAAGCACTTACCCTTTTATAATGGGTTAAGATGCTTGTTTTCTGGCCTTTGGTTGTTGGTGATTTTCTGTTCTCTCTCTAGCAATGTGGGGTGGTATCGGAGCACACCAAGCGGATGTGCACACGGTATGGAACAAGCATTTACACCCTTTCCCATGAAGAATCTGCCTAGCAGGCGAGCTTGACATGTACCTGCAAATTTCATTGTGAAAAGGACAGTAAAGTTACTCGGTAGCTAATATCTCACAGCTTGAGAGTTTTCAGTTAACGTTTGACCATAGCTTAGTTTGTGTGGTATTTCCATGAATGTGATAAGTTGCTGCTTTTATCCGTCATGCATGCATGTGAACTGTATTTGGACTGAAAAGCAGCATTGGAGAAAGGTCTGTTGTTGCAGGTGAAGTGGTTTTGTGGGGTCTTGGGGATATTTCACATTAATCTCTGTTGCACCAGGTCTCTGAAGTGCCCCCAGCACACAGATGAACAGAGGAGGGCTGTCCGGCTCTCCCTCTTGGGGCCAGCTGCGTGAGTGCCCCCCCCCCCCCCCCCCCCCAAACACACACCTAGGGTCAGTCCAAAATATGTAGTCAGCTGTCCAGTCAAATCTTGGATGTCCCCCTTCAGTGGTATGGAATTGACAGCCAAATGCTTCACTGACCCCCATTTCCCCTCACATGTGAACTTCGAGTTAAAGTTATCTCCAACATGCCATGTGAAATATTAGCTGCTCGTTCATTGATCTTTGCATGTTATGTGCCACCTGTAGTCTTGCTGAGTATTTCTCCCTGGGGAGGCAAAATTGTGCTGGAGTGTCCAGTGTGAGCGTGACTGTCACACTGTCACCATAACGTTCATCTGCAAGAGTACACAGACGCGTCTGTCACCTTGCTTTGTATTTTCCGGCTAACATCACAGCCTGTTTCTCCCTCCGCTATGTGCTGAGCCTCACTGACACATTTCCCATAAGCCCTTGGCCTCTTTCTCTGCTGTACTGGCAATATTCCTCGTTGATCTTGCCAGGCCGGCGCTGCCAGATGGAGACGCGGTAGTGGAGAGCGACAGCTACGAAGCTACCAACGGACAGCAGGTGCCGATTGGCCGGTTGCACTGGGGCGGGTCGTCAGACGTCTCCCCCTCTGACTCAACCTCCTCTAAAGCCAGTGAGTTCTTTGGTAAGATGGATTCCTTGCCGTCGGACTAAATGCAGAATTGAAGCATAGGTTAAAATTAATGCTCCTAGATTCTGTGATGCTACTGGCTTATTGTCGACAGTCGGCTTACTGTTATTGATTCTGTCTCAGTGCTGTTCTCCTCTCCCTACACAAAGCTGGCCACTAGTAATAGGGAGTAATAATCCGTAAAACAGAGGCTAATCGGGATGGTTCCCAGTGGAAGGTTTCAGAGCAGATTATCATGGGCATGTGGCAGGTGTCTGAAGAATCACTACTCCCATGGATGGTGAAACTCTGAGTGCATTGGGTTAAGCAGGTGTGTGTGTCTGTGTTTGTATTTACCACTAAATATCCCCCACATTTACTTTTTAGCTTATGGGAACATTTTTTCTGGTCCCCACAATATAAACCTCAGGTTTATGAAAATGTGTCTGCAATCAAAACATCTAAAAGAATCTAAAATCTTGTATTTTGTTTTTTTACTTATGTTTAAGGTTAGGTCTGGGTTAAGGGTGAAATGAATGGTGTGTGTGTGTCGCGTTTGTGGAGGAGCTAAATGCAAAAAACTTTGCTTATTCTTAATTTTAAAGATAAAAATTTGCCCTGACAGAGGGAGCTTTATCTGTCGTCAGGTGTTGATTTTAGCTGCTCGGCAGGTACAGGATGTCACTGGAGAAAAATACATTATACCTGCAGTTTAGAGTCCAGAACATGAAGGTTTGTGGTTTTCATTTTTAAGTTTTATAACTGTACCCCCCCCCCCTCTGTACTTCAGGTACCAACAACTCGGTCTCCACGAAACCTAAGAAAAAGAAGCCGTCTTTGAGCCTGAGCAGTGCTGGACAAGGCCGAGCCTTGGGGGGAGGGTTTGGAGCCTTGCATGGAGATCTGGGCCCCTCTAACCACCGGAAGAAAAACAAACATCCCGTGACCCCAACAGCCGGCATCTACGAAGACATGAACTAGTGAGCAGTGAGGTGTACACCTGTAAGGGCACATGCGAATGCAATCGTACTGTCTTGGAAGATCAAATGGCAACTGTTTTCACCTGATTCCTGACACAGCCTGACACTGTCTGACCCGTGCAACCTGTGTAGTGGAAGCCCAAGTGAAGCGGCATGTCTGGTAAACATACTGGGACCTAAACAGCTGTCCATATGCACCATATGTAGATATCAAATGAACTAAATCAGTCTGCAGTTATACAAGTACTCATACAGTGAGTCTGAACATTCCTTAAATGTTTCTGGTCCTTTATGATGTTTCACAAATGTGTGATTGTGAGTTATTACCTTTTTTTTTTTTTTTTTTTTTTTCCTATGATTTCTTTCCCGAGCGGTGATTAAGACCAAGGCAACATTTTGTTCCTTGTTCCATGCACTTTGTTTTTCTGATATAGGTTCCTGCTCTTTGTAATCAGGATTGGACCATTTCAGAACAATGAATGTGAAATATATATGTGCTTATGATTACGCTGTAAGCTGTTAAATAACGTTGTTCTTCTGATCAGTCAAATCAATTTTTTGACTTGGTTTCTACAAATTACCCACAGTCATGGAGGTGGTCTGTATGTATTGGTTCGGGGAACCCCAAAGCCTCCTATTTGTGGCATGGCACTAGGCAAAGTGCACCCCTGTGAGTCCCTGGTGTAAGACTGGGCTTCTTCAGGGGTGCCAGTCCAGGAGCAGATATGCCCGCGGGCAGCCGGTGTGGCACACTGCCATAGCGCCCATTGCCAGTGTCTGGAAAGCTGCTAATCATGTGTGATGGTGCATGTATGTATGGGATTTGCACGCATGGCTGAGCTTCAAAGTATGCGGGCATGAACATTCAGGTTTACCGCTCCTGTTGCTGAGTGTGCTGTGGTGTTTGTGTGAGCAAGTCATTTTGTGATTTTTGCATATAGCGTGTGTGTGTGTGTGTGTGTGTGTGTGTGTGTGTGTGTGTGTGTGTGTGTGTGTGTGTGTGTGTGTGTGTGTGTGTGTGTGTGTGCGCATAATATATATCACTGTGCCATTGTATGTGTATATGACTTAGAATATGTGATTTATATTTTTGTATAACTGTTATGAATTTGTGTGTGCTTGGAACTCCCCTGTATCTTCAGACCATTTTATTATATAGCTACCGGTGTGGGTATCAAAGCAGGCAGGTGACACCAAAAAAAAAAAAAAAACTTGAATCATGTATAACTGCTTTCTTGGAAATAATGAAAAGATGCACAGACTGCATCAACTGGGCCTTGATATGACATACTGCTTGTGAATGAAGTGTCAGTATTAAAGCACTTGTATGAACACCTGTGTGAATTACTGGAATTTTGATGTTGTACATCTTTTTCACATTGTTGATGTTTATCTTTGTATGAGATGGGCAGCTTTTATTTCTGGTTTATTTGCCACCAAATGAAATTGAATAGATTCCAAATAATTTGTTTTATAGTGCTGTCGACATTGTGTTAAGGTTTCCAGATTAATCACAAGCGTTAACATACTATTTTGTTTTTAATGCGACTTAACCCTCTTAAGGTGGCAAAACCACCTTCAAGATAAAAGAAATCTCACCAGATCATCTAAAAATAAAAAACTTAGTGACACCTGAAAACACCCCAGAAGCCTCGAACAGTCTATTTTCACGTGTGTGTGTGTGTATTATACATAGTGTTCAGCATAAATGAGTACACCCCCTTTCAGAAGTAAGATTTTAATCAAAATCTCACTGAACACAAGAACAATTTCCACAATTTTGACAAGAGTTTTATAGAACATTTGCTTAATAATATGACTTGGATTACAACATCTTCAGTTTTACTCAAATCAGATGATGCAAAAATGAATACACCCCACAACAAAAACTACTACATCTAGTATTTTGTATGACCCCCATGATTTTTAAGGACAGCACCAAGTCTTCTAGGCATGGACCGAACTAGTTGGTGACATATTGCAACATTATCTTTTTCCAGTTTTCAAGAATAACCTCTTTTAGAACCTGGATGCTGGATGGAGAGTGACGCTCTTCAGAATTCCCCATAGATGTTCAATTGGGTTCAGATCAGGAGACATACACTCACCTAAAGGATTATTAGGAACTCCTGTTCAATTTCTCATTAATGCAATTATCTAATCAACCAATCACATGGCAGTTGCTTCAATGCATTTAGGGGTGTGGTCTTGGTCA